GCGGGTTAGGATTAGGGTACGGGTTAGGGTAAGGCTTCGGGTAAGGGTTAGGGTTAGCGTTAGGGTTAGGGAACGGGTACGGTTTAGGTACAGGTTAGGGTATGACAACGGTTTAGGGTTAGCGTACGTGTTAGGGTACGGGTTAGTGTTAGTGTACGGGTTAGGATTAGGGTGTGGGTTAGGTTAAGGCTTCGGGTAAGGGTTAGGGTTAGGGAACAGGTACGGCTTAGGGTACAGGTTAGGGTACGACAACGGTTTAGGGTTAGCATACGTGTTAGGGTACGGGTTACACTCTTCCCCTGTGAGCTCTGCAGTGTGTGGAACCTGGATCAAGACACAGGTAATTGCAAGCGTAATCCCTGATAGGCAGCTGACCTTTCTGGATGATATTGACCTGAGGTTAGCATTGAGTAATGTTGTATTTTCATATAAGCTCTCTGAGCCAAAAGAAATAGCTTGTTCCACCTAATATTCAAAACTACTATAGAACGGAGGCCACTTTGAGTGACAGAGAGAAAGGAGGTAGAAACCAAGGGACATGGTATTTATTGGGCATTTCTATGTGCCAGGTTTTATAAACACACACATACACGTATTTTGAATAATATATATATAATTATATTGTACATTGAATAATATATATAATTATACCTATAATATATACATATAATTATTTCTATACACACACACACACACACACACACACACGCACGCATACACATTATCTCCACTCCTTTTAAAGATAAAAAATACTCTCAGGGTTTATCTCCATTTCATACATGGGGAGATAATAACTTCCCCAGGTTCACACATCTTCTTAATTACCCAAGTCTTTCTGACTCCAAATCCCAAGCTCTCTCGTCCATCCAACACTGTTTATGCCTTTTCGTTACACATTCCCACTCACTATATTCTAGACCCAAATATTAATATTACAGGACTCAAGGCTTGATCTAAGAATGGGCAGTGGTACCCTCTCATCTTCTCCCCCCAGCCTCCATGGAACTCTCTAGAATTCCTCACTGGGTCACACTACTTGAACTGCTAACAAGTAGAAATTCCCTTGGGTAAATAAGCCTCCTGCCATGTTCAGATGGAAGGAAAACTCCATTTCTGAGTATCATAGCTTTTTTCCCTCCTTCTACATTGTACAGAATCCTCAGGCCTCCCTTTATTACAGGTTCTCAGAAATGTGGATCCAGCTTTTTGTATAAGTTTTCATTTTTCCTTTTGTAAAACTGTTTGGAAAAACTTTTATTTTACAAGGATGGCTCTATCTGACCACTAGGATAGGCCTACTCAACCCATGAGCGTCAGACTTCCTGGGTAAATGACCTTACCAAACTCATTTCTTCTTCCTAAGAACACAGTAGATTACAGCTCCCAGCTTTCCTTGCAGCTGGCCACGGCCATGTGACTGAATTCCAGGCAATGTGAGCGGAGGTGATGTGCCCCACTTATGGGGCAAAGCCCTTAACTCCCCTCCCCACCCCAAACCCATGCCATCCATCCTCTCCTTCCTATCGTCAGCCTGAAGCACTTAGGCAAGTGATCCTGGAAGCCAAATGTTGAAGTTGATGAAACCACAATACGGAAGGAGCCCGCTTACCAAACTACCACTTGGAGGAAATCTGCCTGCAGTTCAAGAATGCCCATTTTGGATTTCACACCAGGGGGGAATACACCATAACTGAGTTAAGCCAGTAGGATCTGGGGATTTATTGGTTGCAGCAGCTAACTAATACAATGTGAGCTCTAGTCACATCGCTCTCTCTCTCTCTCTCTCTCTTTTTTTTTTCGTATTTTGGCCACGTGGCACGTGGGATGGTTCCCTGACCAGGGATCAAACCCGGGCCTCTGCAGTGAAAGCACCAAATCCTAACCACTAGGCCACCAGGGAACTTCCCTAGTCACAAAACTCTTGACAAATCCATTTAATCTCTTGCCCCAACCACCCCCTGCACCTCCCCCCAACCATCCGACACACACACACACATGCACGCACACACACGCACACACACTCCACTGCTAAAGAGAAGGGCTATTTTGGGGGGGGGGAAATTCTAGTTTCTTAAAGTCACTATTATTTTTCCTGAATAGTGGCGATAGTGCAGCCGTTATGGAATACTACGTTCTTCTTGCATTTAAGAAGTGCCAGCCTATGCTATAATTCAGATGTGATTTCATTCCTTCCTTATAGGCTGTGAGGCTCAACGACTTTGGGGTGACCCTACTGTGCATTTTATTGGCATAGGAGAGGGAATATTTGTGAGCCCTGGGATTTCAGCATGATATTGAGAAAGTGAAGTTCAGTGAAGAGGAGAAAAAGGGTAATGTAGACAAATATTCTGGAGTTGGACCAGCTGGAAATAAGTACAGATTTTTGGGCCACCAGTGACTTTCCATTGCACAGATCCAAATGTACCAGCCAGAAAGCACTGCTTCCCCCGGCATCTGATGTAGACTTTAGACTCCAGGAACATTGCAATCCACGGTCAGGTGAGATGGTGCTATTCTCACAACCCAACTTTAGAGGTTCCCTCTTTATCTCTCAAAGTTTCAGGAGGACCCAGCACCCATAGCCTCTCTGTTAGGGACTAATTAGCTTGGCACAGAGACTGTGTAATTGATCCAGGTCTTTCAAGTGCTTGGTCGCCCAAATGTTAACACAGATCCTGTAACAAGTCACTAACCAAGTGTTAGGAAACCCTGCAGTGTCAACTCCTAAGGCCCCAACACTATGAGTGCTTCCCACTGTGGGAGGGTGGTTGGCTGGAATTAAATTTGCAGATAAATATGCATCCTGCATTTTCATTTTTGGAGGTAGTATAGTATAAGAAAAAGAGAGAGTTTTGGAGCCACTAAAATCTGGATTTAAATGCAAGTTCTACTACATCCTGGCCATATGGCCTTGACAATTAATCTATGTTTCTTCATCAAGAGTTAGAGGCTCAGCATTCTCAACTCATAGAGCTGTTGTAAGGATAAGGAAATAATGTAGGGGAAATATCTAAAACTGAAAAATATATCAAATAAAATATTTTCCTTCTCCTTTAAATGTTTCCTTACTCTCGGTTGGGTTTGAAACTCCTAAAAGTAAGAGGCTATTCTTTACAACCTCTATGGAGCATTTGGTACCAAGAAAAGAACCATGATCTAGTTGTCACTCCTTTGGGCATCATCCTCCAGACTGGGGGCCCAATAGGCTCTCTGCTACTTTACTAAGTCCTGAGATGATTCGTTTTGGGGGCATGCTAGCTCTCCATTCCTTGTGCCCTGCTCAGAGGGTCCCAGTAGTAGGTGATGTTCAGACTACGTGAGTGGCATTATCCAAGTTTCAGTGTGTGTGGTAGACCACAGGAAGCTTGGTTGGAGTCCTGGAGTGAGGTGAGATGGGGATTGGAGCCAATCAATCAGAGGGAAGAGGGAGACGTGCCCTTTGAGGAGAGAATAGGGGATGGAAACAGTGATGAGGAAGTAGAGAAGCAAATATAGACAGACAATGATAGCTGGAGTTTCAGCTGTGGAGTGGATGGTAGCTGGATTGAAATATGGAGTCAAGGCATAGGTGTGCGACAAGGGGGGGGGGATCTAGTAGTAAGGGAGACGTCTACGGTACTGGAGATAATAATTAGAGAAGTCTTTCATTCGAAAAGAAGAATGTTAGTGGAGGGGTTGGACTTAAATAGGAGTAGCGAGCATTTTTTTTTCCATTATTACTGGGGATAAAGCAGAGTAAATAGATACACATATATGGGGATAGAAGAGGAGGACATTTTTGCAAACGTGCAGTTCTTTTCCTAATGAAGGATAGATGAGATAGACGGTGAGACCTGAATGGTGGAAGTTGGAGTGAGAGGTAGATGAGACGGGGAGCTGAAGAAAGATAAGTGGAAATCTTGGTTGTTGGGAGAGTGAATTTTCTGGGGGAAGTGTGGCTGGATTTCCAGGCAGTGCTGAGTGCCTGGGCTGGTCTCAGGGAAAAGGCTGAGGAAGAAACAGAGGACATGAATGGTGATGGATGATGAAAAAGAGAGAGGGTCCATAGATTGGGGTTAAATACTTGTTGCAGGTAGACGTACTAATGTAAGTGAACTAGAAATCTTACATAGAAATAATGACTCAGGTTTGATAATGTTACAGAAATCATTTTATTAAGAAGAAAGATAATTTTGAAAACAGTCACCCCATGATTCCTCAAACAATTGCCACAATTCAACACTTAAACCAAGTTAGCTCTTAGAATAAAGATGACGTTTGGGAACAGTTACTGAAGGAGGCCAAGGTTCAATTATCATCCGAACGGATAATGAAGTCCTCCTCCTGAAATACAAAGGTAATTATGTCACCTTCCAGAAATTCCTGCTCTTTGCTACCAACCAGCTTTCTCCACAAGTCACCCAGACTTCAGTGAGCAGAGGGGCAGCTGGGGTCCCTTCTGGGCTAGCAAAGGCCAGCAGGGACTCATCCTCCCCTTAAGCAGCTCTCTATCTTATACTCACGGTTCAAACAGCGGTTTGACAAACGTGTCCACAACCATTGCTGCAGCATTTTTGTCCCAGGGGACAGGATTCATCCCCTGTGCACATTTCAACACAAATTCCAGACGATTCTGGTGTCCGCTGTGGACAAGTTCCAGCTCTCCGTTCATCTGAAAAACAAAACAGTCTTGCCAGAACCCAGGCTGGCTCTGTAGAAGGGAGTGGGACCCAGTGCTGAGAGCGAGCGAGCTGAAGTGTCTCACTCCCTGATGGACCTTTAGCCTCTTCCCTTCCGGATGCCCCCAATCTTTCCCCCTTCTAAACCTTGGAGGCACACAGTACTGTTTTGTGTGTGGGAAAACACACTGATGACCAGCAGCTGCAGCATCCTGGGAGAAGAGGAGAGAGCTTTGCCATTAACCCCCTTCTTTTTGTTCCAGCTGAAACTAGATAATTAAATCCCAGATCACAAACAGAAACAACTTCTCACCAATTCTATGTGCCTTCAGGCGCCAATGAACACTGAGTCCCACAGTGTGAAAATCAGACTGGGTACTAATACCACCACCAGCCTTACTTCTAGTATAGGGCTCTGATGACTGCATTTGGAAAGAAATATTAGATAAAAGACAAAAGACCAGGTTTCAAGTTTTTTGTTTTTGTTTTTGTTTTGTTTAAAGGGAGTTCCCTGCTGGTCCAGTGGTTAGGATGTGGCGCTTTCACTGCTGTGACCCGGGTTCCATCCCTGGTCAGGGAACTAAGATCCCCAATCCAGTATCTAGTGCTACTCAAAATGGGTCCCCTGACCCAGCAGAATCAGCATCCCCTGGGAGCTTGTTAGAAATTCAGATTCTTGGGCCCCACCCCAGACCTACTGAAACAGAAACTCTAGGGTTGGGGCACAGCAATCTGGATTTAACAAGCCTTCCCCCCGGTCATTCATTTAAAAATACATATTTATTATTTATTTTTGGCTGCATTGGGTCTTAGTTGCGGCACACGGGATTGTTCGTTGCGGTGCGTGGGCTTCTCTCTAGCTGTGGTGTGTGGGCTCAGTAGTTGTGGCACGCAGGCTTAGTTGCCCCGTGACATGTGGGATCTTAGTTCCCTGATCAGGGATCGAACCGGTGTCCCCTGCATTGCAAGATGGATTCTCAACCACTGGACCACCAAGGAAGTACCCCTCACAAGGTCATTCTTATGTGTGTTGATATGGGAGAACCCCTGCTGTATATCACCCCCCAAAACAGTCTACCCTATTGAGTTAGGGTAGACTAACTAACATGGAAAATGCAGGCTGGCTATCACTCTTGTGAATCAAGTGAAATGGTGGTTGACAATTCTCTATTCCATGTTGGGCAGAGATCTCCTTCATCTGTGGGGTTTCCTTACATACACCTCTGTCTCCCCCCCACCCCAAAACATCTAAGTGTGGTCCTTGATCCTGAGACAATGTAGAGGTGTGTTAGCAAGCTGTTCCTTGGATGATACACCCAGTCTTAACTCTACAGCCTCCCGAGTTCCCAGACCACTTTGGTTTTTGTTTGTTTTTTGGCTGTGCCATGCAGCAAGTGGGATCTTAGTTCTCCAACCAGGGATCGAACCTGGGCCCCCTGCATTGGAAGCTTGCAGTCTTAACCACTGGACCACCAGGGAAGTCACTCCCAGGCCACTTTGATGCACCCACCAAACTTACAGCAGCGAAGATCAATCCTAGGCTTGAAGGATCAATCCTAGGGAGTTGAAGGTTCTGTAGGGAAAGAGTACCAGCCAGCCATGGCTGGCAAGAATCCGCCTGGGCAGGCGTACATGCTGGTGGACTGAATGAATGGACTTGTGTGTTTCACACCGGTGTGGACGTGTGTTTGGGTGTGAGATATCAGCTAACTTGTTCATAACCGTGTTCTTTCCAGACCTTGTTGAAGAATAATTTGGTACCTTAACGTTATTTCATTTTTGTTTTAAGAGTATTTCCAGCTTTTTCAAGTTTACAAATACTTCTAAAGCAAGATATTATTAATCTGTCTTCATGGTCTTCTAGACTTGGAAGAATTCTATTCTTTTCTAATTCTCCCAGAGGTTAGTAGTGGCCCCAGTATAGCCGCCTCCTCTCTCTCTGTGCAGCTGGCCTAAGAGCCATTGTCCTGGCAGGGTTAAGCATTCAGTTAGTCAGGGACATGGACAGCTGGGCTTGCAGCGCTTACCTGGGTTTCCTAAGGGTATGCAGACATGGCCACATCCGTTGTTGACACACCAGCTCCCTATAGCGCAGTCCCAGGGTCCTTGGCATTCCTCCACACAGAAACCTACTCGTAGAAAAAATTCAGCTGAAAACTGTTAAGCCTGACAGGATAACAGGGGAGGGCTGTGAGAAGGTTCGTTTGTTTAACCTTTTATCCAATTCAAAAAATATAGACAAGGTATCTACCTATTTTGCACTATATTAAAAGTAGTATGTTTTTATTTTTAAAACAAAAAATACTCAACTATATTAAGTAAAAAGGAAGTTTCTCTTTCCCTCAACCCAACCAGCCCATTTCCCAGGAGATATCTACTATTTCCTGTAGCTCCTTCTGGAATCTTCTCTTGGCTTTTACAAATATAAGTACAAACACATCAATAACACAGATATATACATACACAATGCGAGTAGATGTTTGTCTGTTAAATTACAAATACGTGGAGTGAGGCTATAGCTTTTTTGGTGTTGAAAGGTGTCTTCATGAGGCAATATAGCAATCTATATCAAAAGCTTTCAAATGTAATTTGGCCATTCTGCTTTTAGGAATTTATGCTAAGAAATATGATTTAGCTCAAGGACATTTATCTTGTCCTTGTTATTAAAAAGTAACTCAAAATGATAATTATCTAATTCTATAATAGTAGAAGAAGGCATGGAAAGAAGGCATATCATACTGGAAAACAATGAAGCTTTTTAAAATGTGTGATAGAATTGTGTTTATTGATCAGGGATGGGCTGCAACACCATATTTGTAAAAATCATATATCCTGGATTTTTGTTTGTTTATATCTGTTACTATGAGATCTTTAAGGACGAAGACTTCTCCTTAACTATCTCCCAGCACTCAGCACAGTTCCAGACATGCAGTAACCACAAAACAAACATTTATTCCTTGTTAAATCTGAAAAAACATATCTGTGTGTGTATGAAACATGGAAGCTTTTATTTTAAAGGTTAACGTGGTTATCTGGGTAATGGGATAATTTATGGAAAATAAATTATCCAGTGGATAATTATTATCCATTGGATAATTTATCTTTTTAATTAGTAGTATTTCTGAGGTTTTTTTTATAATGAACATTATTAGTTGTGTAACAAAATAAAAGAAGTTTCTGTGCTCAAAAAGTCAGGACACACAGGTCTGTGACATGCTTTTCCCTCTGGAAGGACAAGCCTGAAAGCAGACACCCTGGAAATTAACCATCTAAGGAAGGGAAGTCTGGGCAGAGCTAAGCACGCAGTCTCTGTGTTGTGCAGGGTTTGGGACCTGGGCAAGGCTGTGTGCTCTTACCTCCTGGGTCCCGGACTGAAGAGCAGACTCGACTACATCCCTTCTGGATACATTGTTCTCCAGCTCCACAGTCCCCGTCTCTTTGGCAGTGCTCCATACAGATTTCTAACATCAGAAAAGGCTCAGTGAGTTGGTGGAAATGTAAATTGGTACAGCTGCCGTGGAGAACAGTGTGGAGGTTCCTCAAAAAACTAAAAATAGAACTACCACACGACCCAGCAATCCCACTACTGGGCATATATCGGGAGAAAAACATGGTCCGAAATGATACATGTACCCCAATGTTCATTGCAGCACTGTTTATAATACCCAAGACATGGAAGCAACCTAAACGTCCATCGACAGAGCAATGGATAAAGAAGATGTGGCACATATATACAATGGAATATTACTCAGCCATTAAAAACAGTGAAATGCCATTTGCAGCAACATGGATGGACATAGAGGTTGTCATACTGAGTGAAGTAAGTCAGACAGAGAAAGACAAATATCATATGATATTGCTTTTATGTGGAATCTAAAAAGAAATGATACAAATAAACGTATTTACAAAACAGAAATGGACTCACAGACTTAGAGAATGAATTTATGGTTACCAGTGGGGGAAGGGTGGAGGGAAGGGATAGTTAGGGAATTTGGGACTGACATGTACACACTGCTATATTTAAAAAGGATAACCAACAAGGACCTCCTGTATAGCACAGGGAACTCTGCTCAATATTATGTAAAAACCTAAATGGGAAAAGAATATGAAAAAGAATAGATACATGTATATGTATAACTGAATCACTTTGCTGTACATCTGAAACTAACACAACATTGTTAATCATCTATACTCCAATATAAAATAAAAAAGTAAAGAAAAAAAGAAAAAGAATAAAAGCCTCAGTGAACACAAAGAAGCCTTAGGTGTGGGTATCTGGAAGCTACCATACACATGGCGGAGATTAGGCAATGGACCCACTTATACATGGCATATATCACACAGTGTAATGGAGAATGAAACAGGACATATAAAAATAAGTATATATTAGCATATTCATAGAGGACATTGAAATAATGTTTACCCAACAATCAATGGTGATTATTCAAAGGGGATAGAACTGTAGGCAGATTTAGCCCTTTTTGTTTAGTCTATGACATTTTAATTTTGGCAAGAAATGTGTAACTTTAACAAACAAAGGAACATATATTAAGAAAATAAAGAAAATTCAGAGAAATGACCTTCAGCTTTTTTATTTTTAATATATTTATTTATTTATTTTTGGCTGCATTGGGTCTTCGTTGCTGCACACGGGCTTTCTCTAGTTGTGGTGAGCGGGAGCTACTCTCCATTGCAGTGCACGGGCTTATTGCAGTGGCTTCTCTTGTTGCGGAGCACGGGCTCTAGGCGTGCAGGCTTCAGTAGTTGTGGTCTGCGGGCTCCAGAGCGCAGGCTCAGTAGTTTTAGCGCACGGGCTTAGTTGCTCCGTGGCATGTGGGATCTTCCCGGACCAGGGTTCGAACCCGTGTCCCCTGCATTGGCAGGCAGATTCTTAACCACTGAGCCACCAGGGAAGTCCCCTGACCTTCAGCTTTTTGGCCAAAGCTGTTGATGAGCAGGAAAACGGAAGAAGGATTTTCATACTCACGGAGCAATTCCTATGTGTGACAGTTGCACACACAAGAAAGAGTTGTTGAGCTATGTATCATTCCCAGTTAAGAAATGAGGAAATAGGAGCTCAGAGAACATAAATGACTCGCCCACGGTCCGGGCTTGTGAGTGGTGGTTCTGGGGTTGGAACCCGGGAGGACCTGGCCCCAAAGTCCATATTGAATCAATACCTTCTCTGTGATTCCCCAACAGACACATATGCCCTCGTGGCTTCTTGGATTGGTTCTGCTGGGGCCTCATATGCCTGAGGGTCCAATGTGTCTTTTGGGAGGCACAATGACTTTTTTGGGGGGCGGGGGAGGTTAATGGTCAGCCTTCAGGGTAGGAACCCATAAACACTTGAGGAACAGGGCTTCCCTGGTGGTCCAGTGGTTAAGACTCTGCACTTCCAATGCAGGGGCCTGGGTTCGATCTCTGCTCAGGGAACTAGATCCCTCATGCCACAACTAAGAGTTTGCATGCCGCAACTAAAGATCCGCATGCCACAACTAAAGATTCCGTGTGCCACAACGAAGATACAACGCAGCCAAATTAATTAAGTAATTTAAAACAAACAAACACTTGAGGAACTATGCTCATCCCCGACCTCCCAGGCATCTGTTGCAGACCAGTGTAACCTTTTCCATGCTGACCACCACTGCACCTACAAAGATGGCTTTCCTCTCCTAGGTGTATAGGGTGGCATTCTACCTACATGGTTCCCAGTTCATGCCTCTCTCACCAAGGAAATGGTGCTGGTTCTCAGCCTCCCAAACCCTGGTGCCTCCTGAGGTCTCTTGCTGTTTGTGACACCATCACAGATGCACTGCCAGCAGCCAACACCAGGGGTTTCCAGTGGCTCAAGTCCACCACGTGGCTAACTCTATTGCCTCCTCTTCCCTTCCTTGGGATTAGAGGGATGAAGGTATCACATACTTAGAAAGGTAGAGGAGTAATTGATCAAAGGCTCATTGAGCAAAAGCCACCTTGTGTCACTGAAGCTGTGAAACCGAGTGACGTGAAGAAACCATTAAAGTCTCCGGATCCAGGATGAAGTCCCTCTGTCATCCTGACTGCAGCAGAAGCACAGCCTGGTCCTTTCCTTGGCAGTGAAGCTGAGGGTGTGCTTGCAAGGTGCTCATTGTAAGCAGTGGCCTTTTGGTTCAAAAGAATGTCTCCTCTTTAAGGGACCTGACTGATTTTGCTACTTGTGCTTTTAGAGTCACATATCAGTATCAAGACCTTAATTATCACCAACTTACATCTAAAGAAACCATATTGGGCAGGAAGAAATTCAGCCTGAGGGAGCAAAGGTTTGGTCTGGGGCACTGCTTGAGGGCAAATCTGGGGAACAATTGGGGGTGTAACTTGTTAGGGGACTTCTCAAATTTTCTTCTTATCCAGCTGTGCAGAGACTTGAGCAGAAACGTTGCTAGGAAGATTGCGGGGTGGGGGGGTGGTGCCCTGAAAGAGTGAGCCTAATTAAAAAGAATGTGCAACCAAAGCCTTTTCAGGGGATGGGGACTGGGGCCACCCTGCTGTGTGCCCCAGAAGCAGAGAGCAAGAGAAGGAAGTGTCAAATCCCAGCAGCCTGCAGGGAAACTGACACCATTGATCAACAGTGAGACTGACATCCCTGTGGCTTTGGGAAACCAAGCTAATGTAGGCACCAGCTCACCCCCAGTGAGTCTGGCTGGGAGTCCTTGGGTTGGGGCTCTGGTCAGAGGTCCCCAGACCTGATGGGAGGAGAGTTCAGGCCCTAGGTTTCCAGCTCCTGGCTCCTGTCTTGAGGATGGTATAACCCCTGCATACACTTATTCTCTGGTCTGGTGGGACTGTTTCGTGAATGAGTTCATCTCCTGTAAGATTTCCAGAGCTTTGACGTTAAAGGAAGAAAAGAACAAATAATCTCTGCAACAACTCTGCCAGTTGAGCCAGTGCACAAACACTGGCTTCCTGTAGCATCTATTTCTTCTCCAGGATAGATTCCTCATTTGAAATGTGGAGTTTCTTACACAAATAATTTGAGAGTAGAGGCTGATCATATCCAACAAACTATGTGCCCAAGCTAAGAGTCTCATCTGCTCTTTTCCGATTTTTTTTTTTTTTTTTTTTTTTTCTTGCGGTACGAGGGCCTCTCACTGTTGCGGCCTCTCCCGTTGCGGAGCACAGGCTCCGGACGCGCAGGCTCAGCGGCCACGGGTCACGGGCCCAGCCGCTCCGCGGCATGTGGGATCCTCCCAGACCGGGGCACGAACCCGTGTCCCCTACATTGGCAGGCGGACTCTCAACCACTGCGCCACCAGGGAAGCCTCATCTTTTCCGATTTTTATTTCATTTTTTTCTTCTGGGTGACCTGAATTAAATTAGCCAGGTTTAGGAGGAAAAGAGGGCAAAGGAGGAGTGGATGCTAAGATTCTTTTTGCTTGTCCCAGCTCCCATGAGTTGTGCCACAGGGCGGCCCCATGCAATGAGTCACTGGTTTTCTCAGCACATCTGCTTCTCCAGATGTTTATACTGTGAAAAACGTGTTAAGGAAACCTAACTCAAAATAGGAGCGAGGAAACCACGGAGGAAGGGCTCTCATGCAGGTACCACTCATGGCAGCTTGCGTCCTCCAGCAGGAAAGAGGAAGATTTCATGTTGGCCGCCGGCCAGGAGCCGCCCTCGCCTGCAGCCAATGAGAAGCTACCACCACTTCAGACTCTCACTTTCCTCCAATGAACCGCTGCACGAAACAACCCCTCCCAACTTCCTCCTGTCCTCTGTAAAAGCACGCTCTCCTGTGTTTTCCAGACTTGCCCGTGGTTTGCCACATTTTGCTTGTCTCCAATTGCAACTCCTCTGCTATTCTCGAATAAACTCAATTTTGCTGGCTGAACTGCTTACCTTTTTCTTTTAAAAGGCTGACAGTACTATATACATTCATATATTTCATTTAATCCTCACACGATGTAGTAACGGAGATAACATTTTCTGGGTTTCCCTGATGAGGAAACTGGGGGTTAAAAATATTACATACATTTCCCCAGTGTCCACAGAGCAACGTTTTGAAATAAAGTCCTAAGCCCATGTGGTGTTGCCTCCTACTTAACAGTATTTCCTGTTACTCCGTTCTTTTCCCTACCATTAATTTTTTTAAAAAATTATGTGCTAGGGTCAGGGCCAAATACATGATCTACTTTAGCACATTTAGTCCTCATCATACCCTCTGCAATAGGTGTTGACCCATGTTGCAGCAGAGGAACTCGAGGTTAAGTAACTTGCCCTAAACCCCACTTTGGTGAGCTGCAGAGGTGGGATTTGAAGGCTCCGGAGCCCTGCCTGCACCTCCCACTCTGCCAAGCACGGAGCCGGCATCAATCTTGACTTAGCCACTCACTGGTTTTATAACCACAAGCAATTCACAGTCACTTTAACCCAAGAAACCTCAGTTTCTTCGTTCAGGCATAATAAGGAGGCACAGAAAATCTAGTGAGAAAAGCCAGCATTGAGGTATCGCTTAGCATAGCAACAGTAAACAAAATAACAAAACAAAATCCCACCTGAGATGTCCACTAGAAGGTGATTTACTGAGGTGATGCAGTATATTCCATATGGTGGGACACAGTAAATTAAATTAATTAAATTTATTAAATTTAACAATTAAATATGTGAAATAAAGTAAAATGAAATATATTGTGTTGACAGTGAAAGATGCTCCCAACAAAACTTAAGTGACAAAAAAGTATTTATGGAATGGTTTTTGGGGTTAAAAATAGAATAATAGTAAATATCATTAATATTTATATAAATACAGATAATAAGTATAATGCTGTGGAAGTGTTCATTATTTTCTAGACAGTCAAAATATTATTATATAAGCATACCATATATATATATATATATATATATAATGATCATACCATAATCATAGTATATACATATATACACATATATAGGCTCATCAGTAGTTTCTGACTTTTATATAATGAGCTTCACTTGGAGAAAAAAAAGGGAAATGATTAAAGGTCTTTTTAAGGGGTATTTATTAATGACATGCTGGGCACATGGCTCTCTCACCTGTTTTCCCCCTGTAAGGGCAAGAGTGGAGGAAGAGCCCCCAGGAACACTGATGGGTTTCTGTCCCATTTCTGATCAGCAGCACAGTTTTGGAAAGGCCAGGCAGGGCTAACCCTGGCACAGCTGGCTGGGGAATCAGGCGGGGCTCCTGGTCTTACCTCCTTTGGCGAAGCTGGAACAGACTTTCCTACAGCCCTTCTGCACGCACCATTTCCTGGCTCCGCAGTTCCAGTTTTTCCAGCACCGGATCTCACAGTAGCCTGCCAGAGAAGATACATCAAAAACTTAAGTCTCAGGAGCAGGTACTAGGAAGGGGCTGGAGCAAAGAACGAACGGAGCCCTTCCTACGAGGTAGCATCTACATTTTATCCCTTTAACAAATTATGTAATTTATAAAATGTCTACTATTGCAAAAAAGTTCACAATCTGAATAGAACTTTACAGTTTAAAGAATGCTTTCACAATGTACATGATGTAATGAGATGATATTACTCCGAGATGTTGATTCAATGTATCTTTTGTTCCCAATTCTTCCTAGTTTCTGGCTGCCCATTGCCCTCCCCCGCCCACAACTCATAGAGTTAATGGCAGCCCCTGCTTCGTGGGGAGGGCACATCAGCCTGGAATAAAGGGGCCAGGGCTCGGCAGTGAGTTTCAAATTAGGCTTTGTTGAATTAGACAACAACAGGCTCTGCTGAAAGAGAAAAATTTTTCGAAATTTCAGAAGCGCCTTTTAACACACACAAGGCTTAGAGCTCTGAGCAGAGAGAAGATGCTGGGCATGATGTGAGTTCTCATCCCATAGAAAAGGGGAAAGTCCTTCTGGTCAATGAGGAAGATGGGGGAGGGAGGGGGTATAAGAAGGAAGGAAGGAGAGGGCGGGGAGGGAGAGAGAGAGGGAGGGAGAAAGAGGAGAGGAAAGGGAGAGAATATGAAAACAAATGTTCATAACCTTGACCTTTTCATTTCACTCCTAAGAAATATATTCTACAGGAAACATTTCCACCTATGGACAAAAATATAAAATCACGTTCATTACAGCAACCTGGGCAACAGCAAAAAATGTCACGCAAATAGAATGACGACCAAAAGGGAATTGGTTAAATGAATTATAGTAAACTGATTCATTAGTCATCACATAATCCAAAAAGAATGAGATGTATTTGTGTGGACATGGAAAGATGTCCACAATTTATGTTAAATTTTAAAAGACGTATGTCATGCATGATAGGATACTTTATACAAGAGAATAGGATATATTCTAATTTATGCAAATGACCACAATAGAGGGCTTTCAATATGCCCTTTCAATATGCTTCACAGGCAGACCTGGGCTCTCCCTCATTATCTATGTGGCCACAAGAAAGTCATTTCACTGCTGTATGCCTCGGTTTCCTCATCTGTATAACAGTGACATTTGTTACTACTGTACCTCTGAGATTTAAAAGCAATAATCTCAGGGCCTGCCTGGCAAATAGCAGGAGCTCAGAATGTGATGTTTCTTCCCAGAGTGACTGTGTATCTGTCAGGGAATTAGTTAATGCATAAGGCTGGTAAATCCTTCTAGACACCACATATTGTCAAATAGTACACACTGCTGGTTTTTCAAACACACATGGAACCTACTGTACCCAATAAATTACAAAACAGTTTAATAGAATCACTGAGTTAACTGGATAATCAATCATCATGTGGGTTGCCTGACATTTTTTACATAATTACATTGTCCTCATGGGGTGATTTTAAAAATATGAAGCAAAACGCTTAAAGGTATTCAGGGCTGTGGGTTTGACTGAAGGCTTGTTAATTGTCCTCCAAACAGAGACATAGGTGATAATAGCGGAGGGCCTGTGGTGAGGCTGGGATTCAATGGGAGATTTTTGGACTCTGGACATCCTGTTTTTTCACAGTCACATGAGGGTGATGCTCCCTTTCGATGAAGGGCACCTTCAGAAATGGGGCATTTCTGGCTCCCATGCTCCCAGGGACTTTTTCTACCATTTAGTGAGCCCTTGTTATTGTGCCAGCTCTAGGCAAGTGAGTCACATCTGTGATCTCATTTATTTGTCACAAGGTCTCTAGGAGGTAGGTCTTCGTAATCCCCATGTACAGAAACTGAGGCTCTGGGAGCTCGAGCAAATTGCACAAGACCACAGAGACAGAAAAAAGCTGACACAGAATCTGATACGTCTGATTCCAAAGAAAGATTTGAAAAGAAGCTTCCTCGTTACTGCTCCCAGGTCTCTGTGGCGCTAGCATTTGTGTTCACCCACGAACCAGGACAGTGATGACAGCCCCAGGAATAGCTGCTCCCATCAGAAGCCCTTCTCAGGATGGGGCTATGGGTCCTGACTAAGGGAAGGGAGGGGAGATGTGGAGGAAGGCCAGGTAGCCGGCCAGACACGGGGAAGTCCCTCTGGGACAGGGCCCACTTGCTCCGGTTGGGACTTACAGGAAAAAAAACAGAACACACCATATGCAAAGATGCTGGGTCATTTGTCCTTAGCGTTTCTGTGCCCTGAGGAAATGAATGAAGAAAGAGGCAGAAGTGGGCAAATGGTGACTCTTGAAGGGTACTTCCTGCAGGGAGGGTGTATGAAAATGTTCTAGGCTTTTTCAAGTTAAAGAGACTGGCTTTGCCATGTATTGACAGGTCATGTCACCTTTCTGAGCCCCAGTTCCCATGTCTGTGAAATGAGCATGACACTACAACTTAAAAAGATGTTATGAGAAACCAAGGCATGCATACTTCCCCCTCATCCACTCTAGCCAGGGCTGCCACGTATGGTTTTACAGGTTGTGAGCCACACAGTTATGTCTGCTGACAGGATGAGTGGGACTGTAATACATCTCGACCTCATCTCTGAAGCCCTCCGCCCAGAGGGAGAGGCAACTTTTCCATAATGGATAAAGGTGTTTGTTTACCAAACTGGGCACCCACTGGACTCTGTCTGGTGTAAGGGGCCTTTTTCTAGTTCTCCCAAAAGTGTCATTTGAGCTAGTGGTGGTCTCCATCCAGCCTGTCATGACTGCCTGTTTTTCGACACAGGCTGCTGCCGTAAAGATTTCTCACCCTCTGTAGGTTTGAGACTATGGTTTTCCTGTCTGGAACCAAGCCACCCCTTAGTACAAATTGGGAGACAATTGTAGGCAGGAAAATCTAATGGGACTCTCTTTGCTCTGGGAATAGGGGAGATATAAACCCTGGCAGAGATGAGAGAAAGGAAAAAATCTTTCATTCATCCCTTTAAGAGAAGGGGCCTTGGCAACCAGGGGTCTTGGTCTTTCCTGAGTCCCTGGCTGCCTCTGAGATTTTAAAGGTTAACAGAATTTGGAAGGTCCAACTCCCAGTCTGACCCTCAACCTCCAGTCCATGTCACAAGCACCTAAGGAAACCAGAGTTGGGACCTAGAGCCAGGGAGTGATGTAGCAGCCCAAGCTCCTGGGGCCAGGTTCCTAAGCCTTGTACATGTCAGGCAGGACCAGACCGCAGGGTTAATGCATACTGTTAGCAAGTCCCCATGAAACCCATACATTGTCTATAAAATCATTAAGTGTTGTGCTACTCTTTTCAAATATAGGCACAGGCAGCTGTAAATAATAGCATAAACTTCCAGTTAGTGGCATAACTGAATCCATTAGGCATGGTGTCCTTATGCATGTTACATACTAAAAGCTCCGTTATGTTACGTTTTAACGTTTTTAATGTTTTCAAAGGGTCCTTAGGAGGCCATTTGGAAATACGTATTTAAGCCTTAGAAATAGGTGGCGCTCTGAGCTTTTCTAATGACTTGTCTATGGGTCCACAGAGAGGAGACCCAAGCTCACAAAACGATCTCACAGCCAGTAAGCGGCCGAGCCTAAAGCCAAGAGAATGTCTGTCTGACTCCAGGCCCTGAAAGCTTCACCTCCACATGGTGCTAATGCTCCCTCTTGACCAAGGGAGCCTCGGGGAAGGTGTATATCTGGCACCAACCCTTCACTTGTTTCTTGGCCACCGTTTATTGAGCACTTGCTAAGTGCCAGGCACCGGGCTAAGTATTTAGCACAACCTCATTCACTCCTTAGAATGACCCTGTGAGGTACGAACTATTATCCCCGTTTTAGGATGAGTAACGTGCACCCAGCTCAGAGCTAGGAAAAGGAGGGGCCAGGGTTCAAATGGGGTCTGTGTGGCTTCAGATCTCCTCGTTACACTGTACGGCTGCCAAGGCTCTGTGGAGCTAGCAGCCGTGCTCTCCCACGAACCAGGACAATGACGTCAGCCCCAGGAATAGCCTTCCCCATCAGAAAGCCCCACTGCCTCCTCCCGTGGCTCCCCAGGGAGGGGCTGTGAGAGTCAGGAGGGGAGTGGCAGGGGAAGTCCAGTCAGCCAGCCAGAGGTGGGGAAACCCCACTGGGACAGAGGTGGCTTGCTCCAGTTGGCTTTGCAGGGAACAGGACAAGGTGGTCTGAGCAGGATGGAGATCTAAGTGGGGAGCATGGCCACGAGAATGAGTCAGAGTGTGGCCAGTTAGCTGACACACACTTGTGGTCACTCCATGCAAAGAGGTGGGGTGGGTTTTTTCTTATAGTTTGAATGTGGATGAGAGTACAGAACCATGTGGATAATGTCCCCTCATTATTATTTCTTCGGGAGGCAGCGTGGTGCGCTGGGAAGTACTCTAGCTTTGGATGCGAAGAGATCACCTCTGCCATTTATTAACTGCCTGATATGGGATGAGCACATAATCTCTCTGAGACTCAGTTTCCAAGCATTTGAAATACGGGTAATAATATTTACTTCAAAAATGTGTAATGAACATTAAATGCAAAAGTGAGATTTACAGACATTTCCACCTCATCAGTTCTAGCCAGTACTGCTGTGTTGATTGGGTAGGTCATGCACTAGACAGTGATAGCCAGCAGATGGCGACAGGTTAGCTAACACCATAGACTTAGCTCCTGAGCCAGGCGCTCAGGCTCTGCCTTCCCTGGAGCTGGAGAAGGACAGGGATCTTTAGTGAAAGTTGGGGGCACTGTTAAGGCACTTTTTGGTGTCACTGTTTGCAGTGTGATCCAAGTGACTTAAGGAAGAGGGTGCAAAGGAAAATATAAACAAGATGAAAAGACAACCCTCAGAATGGGAGAAACTATTTGCAAATGAAGCAACTGACAAAGAATTAATCTCCAAAATTTACAAGCAGCTCATGCAGCTCAGTATCAAAAAACAAACAACCCAATCCAAAAATGGGCAGAAGACCTAAATAGACATTTCTCCAAAAAAGATATACAGATTGCCAACAAACACATGAAAGGATGCTCAGCATCACTAATCATTAGAGAAATGCAAATCAAAACTACAATCAAAACTACCTCCCCCGCAGTCCAGTGGTTAGGACTCTGCCTTCCAATGCAGGAGGCATGGGTTCAATCCCTGGCTGGGGAACTAAGATCCCACATGCCGTGGGGTGTGGCCAAACACTTAAAAAAAAAACAAAAAAACTACCTCACATGGGGTGGGTGGGAGGGAGATACAAGAGGGAAGAGATATGGAGACATATGTATATGTATAACTGATTCACTTTGTTATAAGGCAGAAACTGACACACCATTGTAAAGCAATTATACTCTAATAAATATGTTAAAAAAAAAAAAACTACCTCACACCAGTCAGAATGGCCATCATCAAAAAATCTACAAACAATAAATGCTGGAGAAGGTGTGGAGAAAATGGAACCCTCTTGCACTGTTGGTGAGAATGTAAATTGATACAGCCACTATGGAGAACAGTATGGAGGTTCCTTAAAATACTAAAAATAGAACTACCATATGACCCAGCAATCCCACTACTGGGCATATACCCTGAGAAAACCATAATTCAAAAAGAGTCATGCACCACAATGTTCATTGCAGCACTATTTACAATAGCCAGGACATGGAAGCAACCTAAGTGTCCATTGACAGACGAATGGATAAAGAAGATGTGGCACATATATACAACGGAATATTACTCAGCCATAAAAAGAAATGAAATTGAGTTATTTGTAGTGAGGTGGATGGACCCAGAGTCTGTCGTACAGAGTGAAGTAAGTCAGAAAGAGAAAAACAAATACCGTATGCTAACACATATATATGGAATCTAAAAAAAAAAAGGTTCTGAAGAACCTAGGGGCAGGACAGGAATAAAGACGCAGACGCAGAGAATGGACTTGAGGACACAGGGAGGGGGAAGGGTAAGCTGGGACAAAGTGAGAGAGTGGCATGGACATATATACACTACCAAATATAAAATAGATAGCTAGTGGGAAGCACCCACATAGCACAGGGAGATCAGCTCAGTGCTTTGTGACCACCTAGATGGGTGGGATAGGGAGCGTGGGAGGGAGACGCAAGAGGGAGGAGATATGGAGATATATGTATATGTATAACTGATTCACTTTGTTATACAGCAGAAACTAACACACCATTGTAAAGCAATTATACTCCAATAAAGATGTTAAAAAAATAAAAATTGAAAATTAAAATAAAAATAGAGGGCTTCCCTGGTGGCGCAGTGGTTGAGAGTCTGCCTGCTGATGCAGGGGACACGGGTTCGTGCCTCGGTCGGGGAAGATCCCACATGCCGCGGAGCAGCTGGGCCCGTGAGCCATGGCCGCTAAGCCTGCGTACCTGGAGCCTGTGCTCCGCAAAGGGAGAGGCCACAACAGTGAGAGGCCCACGTACCGCAAAATAATAACAATAAAAATAAAAAAATAAAAATAGAAAAAAAAAAGGAAGAGGGTGGACAGGAATCACGGTAAGGTGAGAAAAAGAAAAATATATATTTGGTTCATTCTTTAGTTTCCTCATCTGTAAAATGTACGTGAGATGAATACCTATATCTTTCATACCAAAAGTTCTCAAGATTAAACAAAATAATGTATTTTGAAAAAGATCTGGCACAGAGAAGTTGCCAAATATGTGTTTTTCACTTTTTTCCCATCATGTGGGATGCCAACTTATGGCAAAGGATCTTTGAAACATTCCCTAAAAACATTTCATAAACATCTTTGAAGTTGTTTTTAAGTTGCATGTAATTTAAAATTAAAATATACCTGTAAGGCCAACTGGCCCGAGGCAGGGGAACACAATCAGATTCACAGGTTGCATCAGACCGCAATTCTCCGGACCACCCAGTTCCAGAAACTGCCCTGGAGACATTCCGGACCACCCAGTTCCAGGAACTGACCTGGGGACTTTGAACCCAGCCCAGCCTTCCCGCCTTTCGAGGGGCGGGACTAACGGTCCCCCAGGATACCCGAAAAGACCACCAAATAAGGAATACCCTGCACCCTCCCAGATTCACCACACCCCTTTCCCTTCTTCCCCTATAATATCTTGCCCGACCCTCACCCGGGTGCGACTTCTCTGGCCCCTTTCTCTCGGACCAGTGAACCTTGCCCGGGAGCGCTCCCTAATAAAGCTCACTTGAAGCTTTCCTCCGTTTCTCGCGGTGCCATTTGTTAAGATCCGACCTTACAATACCCAGCATTTTGAAGTTTATGAAACTTTTTGCCATAAACAATACATCCTCACAAACGCAAATTGGCCAAGTATCTTTGGATTTAAAAAAACATGCATGCCCTTGGAGTCAGCAATATCATTTCTAGCAATGTTTCCTAAGGAAATAATCAAGTTATAAACGGAACGATTTAGTTTCAAGGGAACCCTTTGATAGTAAAATATTAGAGAAGTTTAAAAGCCCATTGGTCAAGAAGTAGTAAACAAAATGTGGTACATTCACAGTAAAAATGCTTTGATGTCTTTGAAAAAAATAGAGTTGTAGAAATATGTCCATGCTTGTAGCAAGCTATTCACTACATATTATCGAGAGTAAAAAGAAAAAAGAAAAGTTTAAAGATGTTTGTTCGTGGAGTGTGATGCCATGATTATTTGGCACCATACCCCCTGAATATATTTGTGGAAGGATATGAACATACATGTAACTATGTTCACCTCCTGGTAATAAGATTACAGGCACATCTTGTCATCATTTTTGTTCCGTAGTTCCTGACTTTTCTGTAATAAATACGCATTCCTTGTGAAAAATTAAATGAGATTCTTTTTTTTTTTAGGATTCTCAACTTGAAAATGTTGGGATAAATGTTCTGAGACCAACCTTTCCCTCAAAGGGCAAGAACAGAGGGACACCTCAGGCATTCGGGTGTGTTTCTCTGGGTGATCACACAATTGTGCAAGTTCAGATAACACCAAGCTCTTAATTCTCCCAGGATAGGCTGGGGTGGAGAAAGTCAGGGCTCACCTCTTTTAGCCTGTGGGGCGCAGATACGTGCACAGCCAATCTCCACGCATTCTTTTCCTCTTTCACAGTCCCTGTCTTCTGAACACTCCTTCACACAGATTGCTGGCGAGAGGAAAGACACAGTTAGAAGCTTTGAAGTCTTACGATTAGAAAATAAATACTCTCAATGCCTTTACAATATCTTTCAAAAACCATCAGTTCCCTAGAAATAAATCTAACCAATTATGTGCAGAAAACTACACTATATTACTAAGAAAAAAATTTAACTGTCTTATAAATGGAGACAGACGTCATGTTCATGGATGAAAAGATTCAGTGTTATAAAGATACCAGTTACCCCCCAAATTGAAATTTAATACAATCCCAGTAGAAATCGTAGAAGGATTTTTCACAAAAATGGATAAGCTGATTCTAAAAGTTTATATGTAAGTTTCCCAAACCAACAATAATCAAAATAAGAATCAAGACAATTTTAAACAAAGTTACAGGACTTCAGTGTGGTTGGATTAACTGGACTGTCCATGTGAAAAAAAGGAACTTGTCCCCTACCTCACACCACACTACAAACTCCGTTCCAAATGGGTTATAGACCGAAGTGAAAGGTAAAGCAATAAAGCTTCTAGAAGATACTATAATAGATAGCTTCATGATCTCGGGATAGGCAAATATTTCTTAAATATTACAGAAATATCGCTGACCATTAAACTAGATAGGTAGATGGAACCTCATTAAAATTAGGAACTCTTCTTCATTGAATGACACCATTAAGAGAGTGAAAAGAAAAGCTACATTGGGAGGAAATGTTTATAATACATATATACAACAAACAACTTGTATCCAGAATCCCTTACAAATCAATAGTAACAATTGATAACCTAATAGAAAAATGGGCAAGAGGATTGAACAGACACTTCACAAAGGAGAAAGTTAGAAGTTGTTACAAAAAAATAACGTCAGATTTTGGGAAGGTGGTTTTAATTGTGTAAGTTGGCATAATATTTGAATCTTCTATAATTTCCCCTTAAAAACACACAGAGCAATCAAAATAGCAAAATTCAAAACATATAGACAACAAAACTGCGGAACAAGGTATCCCCTCAAACTCCACAATATGAGTGGATGGAAGGAGACAAACCACTGTCACCTACCACACCAGTGAGGCATCTGCCTCTGTGCAGAAATCCGCAGGAAGCAATGAGGTGACTGATGGAGAAGACTGGGGCCATTGTTCCCATGGGAACTTCCTGAGGAATGTACTAGAGACTGATCGCCAGCCAACCAAAGTACTGGAGAGGCATCAAAACGGGGACTAGTAAGGCCATTAGATATATACTTACAGTAGAATTCAGACTTAATAATGGTCTATGGAGAGAGTCTATGAAGTAGCTATATGTTTTGACAATATATCTATTAAAAATCGGGGAGGGGGAAGGAAAGAACATAGGAAAAGCAGAGTAAGCTTGATAAGTACCTTAATATGATTAAGTGGGAATGAAAGGATATTGCTTAAAATCAGCTGTTGGGGGTAGGGGAGTGTGGAGGAAGGAAAGAAGGAAATCAGCTAATTTCATTATGACTATTACTCATAGCAGGAAACCTATAGGTAATAATAAAAAAAAGGGGGACCAAGGGTGGTACTCAAAGGTCTTAGTTTAAGGTAACTAATAGAACAAAAAACGAAACCCTTTCTAAATGCAAAACATATAGTAAGCGAGAGGGGAGAGGAGAGAGAGAGATTACACAAATAAAATAGATTATATAACAAAAGACTATGTATCTAACAAAGATATCTGCAACAGTAAATAAAATAACAACCAAAATGGTAAGATAAACCACACGTACCTGTTTTAGAAATACATATCAGATCCAACCCAATCTGATAAGGGGAATGGGAAACGCGGGGTGACCGCTCATTTAGATCAAAGGAAATGCATCTGATCAATGCCGAATCTCCACTCTGCAGTGGGGACACGGCAGCTTCCGTGCCAAACCATCTCCAGGTCTAACCCTGGGCTCTGTGCCTTCTCTGCTCTCAGGGAGGATCCCCTCAGCAACCTCACCTCCGAAAGTAGGTCTCTGAGTATAGGCCACCTCCAGGCCCCTGACGATGAAAGCCACCAGAACAAAGATGGTGCCTGTCTTCATGTTGAACTTTATGTGATGCACGGGCAGAACCCAGGCCCATTTTATACTCTCAGTGTCACCAGAAAGGAGGGTGGGGCAGGAGGAAGAAGATCTGGAAGAGTATCAAAATATAAGCCCTCAAGGGAGTGCCCTCAGATGTTCTAGTTTCCTTGATTTCTGATTTCTCAGATTAGGGAATGGTTTCTTGGAGACGCAAATACCTAATGGGAGAGCTCGGGAACATTTTTAGTGCTTCATTCATTGCTTCATCACAGCTTGCCCCCGGTTTCCCTGGTGCCTTTGGGAACTGTGGTCAAAGAAAAGAATTTTCTTTGTGTAAATTAGAATTTCAGAGTGCGAGCTTACATTATGAAGCCAGGTGCTGTTTGTCAGGGCCCATCTGGGGCGTCCTGCAGGACCGGTTACACAAGGATGGTGAATGTGTGCTTTGAGTGGTTCCCAGGGCTGAGGGTGGAACCACAGTGGTAGTGATGTATAAAGATCACAAGCTGGGAGTTCCCTGGTGGTTAAGAATCTGCCGGCCAAGACAGGGGACATGGGTTCGAACCCTGGTCCGGGAAGATCCCACATGCCACAGGGCAACTAAGCCCGTGCGCCACAGCTACTGAGCCTGCGCTTTAAAGCCTGTGAGCCACAACTACTGAAGCCCGTGAGCCTACATCCCGTGCTCCACAACAAGAGAAGCCACCGCCATGAGAAGCCCATGCACCGCAACAAAGAGTAGCCCCTGCTCGCCGCAACTAGAGAAAGCCCGCGCACAGCAACAAAGACCCGACGCAGCAAAAAATAAATGAATAAATAAATTAATTTAAAAAAATAAATAAATAAAATAAAAATCACAAGCTGGGCAGGGCCCTTGGGGGTTGAGAGACATGGTCCCTCTTGGTGACTGGTGTTCTCTGAGCCTATTCTGCTCCATACCAAGAGGTTCCTGGACAGAAGGCTGGTGGGTGAGCTACATGGGCAGAACTACAGCAGAAGGACAACTAAACATTCCACAGGGGCCTGTGGAAGGAGCCCACCCTCTTTCCTATCCAAAGATTCTCAAAATCTTTGAGAAAGGCATATGCAGGTAAAACCCCAATGACTGTGGGAATGAAGAGAAAGTCTGCGTTGTCCTTGGTGGTCAGAGCCTGGACAAACGCCTTAGGACTCCCTGTGGGGAGGCCTGGACAAGCTACCCTAAGAACAGAGAAAGACTCAGCAAGCCACAAGAGGAGGGCTCAGACTGGCCATCTCAGGCAGTGAGCTCACACCCAGGATCTCAGAATCTCTGCAGATGCAAAGGGTAGTAAGCACCCAGGAATGACTCCTCAATCTGAAGGAGGGACCAGGATACCCAGAGAGGGAGCTCAGTCCAGGGTGGAGATTAATGGCTGCAGGCAGCACAGAGAACAGCAGTTGGTCAGCCTTGATCCAAACCCACCCAAGGTGGCTGGCTGGATCCCAGGCTGCTATGTATCGTGGCTTTGTTCGTGGGGCCGGGGCTGGACAGCCCCAAAGAGCTTGCAGGAGAATCCTTTGGAGCAGCACGGTTGGCAAGGAGAGGACTCCTGAATCCCTCTCAAAAAGTGATGAGACGGGACGATTATCACTTAGTTAATATAACCTGTCAAAGTTCATTTTCACACAACAAACACATGAATGTGCTAAATAATTCAAACAATACAGATATATCCAGAATAACCTTGCAGGAGGTAATCAATATTACCAGTTTGCCGCGTATTTTTCTAAACGCTTTTCCTATGCTTTTACATACACACATATGTGTATATACAAATATATACTTTGTTTGCAGAAACGAAATTATATGTATTAATTTGCTTTATTCATTTAACATGATGTCTTGGAGAGCTTTCCAGGTTAGTATCTTCTTTTCCTTTTAAAAAATAACTACTATCTAAAATTCCATTATATGAATGGTTTATAATTTATTTAACCAAACTTCCATTGTTGGACATTTAGCAGGTTTGTGGGTTTTTTGGTTATCAAACAATTTGCTGTGGATATGTATCATACACTTTGTAGTGCTTCCTTTTATCTATATCTATCTCAGTACTTCTCCCAGAATAGATGCCCTAACATGGAAATACAAAGGAGACATCTATGGTAAAGTTGGAAGATATTGCCAAATTGTCCTGCAAAAAGACTACACTATTTATGGCTCAATAATATTCATATATATAAATCATAAATATATAGCATATATATAATATTCATCTATACATATCACACTTTCTTTATTCCTCTATTGATGGGCACCTAGGTTTCTTTGCAGATACGAAATGTGCAGTGTGGGGAATATAGTCAATAATTGTGTAATATCTTTGTATGCTGACAGATGACAACTAGACTTATCCTGGGGATCGTTTTGAAATGTATAGAAATGTTGAATCACTGTCTTGTGTACCAGAAGTTAACATAGTGTTGCAGGTCAATTATACTTCAAAAACAAACAAATTCATAGAAAAAGAGATCAGATTTGTGGCTCCCAGAGGCAGAGGAGGGGGAAGGGGGAATTAGATGAAGGCAATCAGAAGGTACAATCTTCCAGTTACAAGATACGTAAGTAATAGCGATATAATATACAACATGTTAAAGATAATCAGTATTGCTACGTGTTATAAATGAAAGCTGCTAAGAGAATAAATCTTAAGAGTTCACACCACAAGGAAAAAGCATTTTTTAAAATTTCTTACTGCTGTATCTCTATGAGATGATGCATGTTCACTCAACTCATGGTGATAATCATTTCACGACGTATATAAGTCAAATCATTATGTTTCACACCTTAAACATATACAGTGCTGTATGCCAATTATATCTCAATAAAACTGAAAGGAAGTAAAAGACTATACAATTTACACTTCCAACCACAGTGAAGGAGACATGGATTTCTCACACACTGATCCAGTACATTTGTAGTCTTGCGTCCCCAAGTTAAATTTTTTTTTAAACAACATAAATTTATTCTCTTGCAGTTCTGGAGCTCAGAAGATTGAAATCAAGGTATACGTTCTAAAGTATGGGCAGGGCAACTCCTTCCAGAGCTCTAGGGGATAATACCTTCCTTGCTTGTTCTAGCTGCTAGAGCTGCATTCCTCGGCTCTTGACCCCTTCTTCCATCTTTAAGGCCAGCAGCATAACATCTTCAAAACTCTGCTCTGTCTTCACTTTGCCTTCTCCCAATCTGTGACAAGTCTCCCTCTGCCTCCCTCCTACATAGACATTTGTGATTATATTTAGGACCTACCCAGGAAGTCCAGGATAATCTCCTCATCTCAAAATCCTTACTTTAGGGGCTTCCCTGGTGGCGCAGTGGCTGAGAGTCTGCCTACTGATGCAGGGGACACGGGATCGTGCCCCGGTCCGGGAGGATCCCACATGCCGCAGAGCGGCTCGGCCCGTGAGCCATGGCCACTGAGCCTGCGCGTCCGGAGCCTGTGCTACACAACGGGAGAGGCCAAAGAAGGAAGGGCCAAGCGAACAAAAAAAAAAAAAAAAAAAAAAAAAAAAATCCTTAGTTTAGTCATGTCTGCAAAGTCACTATTGCCATATAAGGTAACAATCACAAGTTAAATTTTTTTAAATTCTATTTATTTATGTCTTTCTTGAAGTAGAGTTGATTTACAATGCTGTGTTAGTTTCAGGTGTACAGCACAGTGATTCAGTTATACATATACACACGTAGCTATTCTTTTTCAGATTTTTTTTCATTATGTTATTACAAGATACTGAATATAGTTCCCTGTGCTATACAGTAGGTCCTTGTTGTTTACCTATTTTCTAATAGTAGTGTGTAACTGTTAATTCCGTACTCCTAATTTATCCCTCTCCCCTGAAGTTTTTAATGGACTATTTCCAGCTGTATATAGTCCCATAGGCCCCTTGGGATGTATCCCAGTTGGGGATATAAGGCAAAAAATTCTCACCACAGTAAAGACATTTAATTAGCAGAAGTTGTGTAACCCAGTACAACCTGCTGGTTACTCTAGCACTTCAGTTCCAAGTATGAAGCAAAGCATAATCATGGCCTGGAAGAGTCTTGCTGAAGTAGGCATTGCAAAAACAGGTGCTGCGAGGTTATTAAGGAGGGACTCTCTCCAATACTAATGACAATGCTTGAACTTTATGAAGCACGCAATTGCCCGGCAGGTCCTGTACTTGTACTTTACACCCACCATCTCACTGAAGGCTCACAAGCCTGAGGGGCTGCTTCCATTGGCACCCCCATGTCCCAGATGAAGAAAGTGAGACTCAAAGAAAGTCATGCCTTGCAAATACTCCCAAACCCACCAGAGACCCACCGATGTGGACTCTCCAGTCCTGGGGTCCAGAAAACCTCTGCAGAGGCTTTTCATGCACCTGGAAATAATGAGGAGTGCTTTACCTACCAAATAAATAAAACCTTTATTTCTTTGTGAAAAACAAAACAAAATGATGTCCCTAGAAAAACTGGATTTCTGGTACTCGAGTAACAATCACAAATTTGGGGATTTGCTAAATTCTCATGACATACTATCATTTGAAAGGGTCAGGTGTCTGCAGTAGCCATGAGATGCAAAAATGAACAATGAAGGGAGAAGACTGAGTCAAGACCTTGGGAATTCCTAGATGTCCTCCTGTAACTGAGCAGGACTCTATGGGGCCTTCCTGGGACAGACCCCTCTCCCATATCCTCTGCTTTAGCTCCGTTCTGAAGTACCCAGATAATAGTCTCTGAGGCACAACTCCTGAGTTGTTTTACAGATGCTAAAATAACCCCCAAATGGAAGAAATTAACTACTTAATGACCATGAGCACATAGTCCCCAGGCCTACTGGAGACTAAGGATTGATCATTTTAACCCCTGTGACACCCTTACCATCAAACAATCGGAGAATCGTGCACTAGCTGATCACAGACCCTGGGACTCCCCTTCCCACCTTGCCTTTAAATAGGCTTTGCTGAGACCCATCCGGGAGCTCAGGCTTTCTGAGCACTAGCTGTCCCCGACTCCTTGTATGGCACCTTACAATAAACACTGCACTTTCCTTCACCACAGTCCGGTGTCAGTAGCCTGGCTTTACTGCCTGCGAGGGAGCAGACCCAAGTTTTGGGCCAGTAACACTCAGTCTGTAAAACCCACCCATCGTACTTGCAGCCATCAAAGTTGTATTTCTTTTATTTTTTTAAATGGCACGAGACCTCGAGGCTGTCACAGCTTCCATGTTCAGACTCCTGAATTTGCTGGAATTCCATTTTTCCTGGAATTTCATATTTCAGAGAGTCATTTCCCAACCCTGTCAAATCCTTTGAACACCCAACTGCACGCTCAGCTCCCCAGTCCCAGATCTTGTTTATGTTGTATCTTTGTCGTCTTTGTCCTGTTCCATAAAGAGTCGGGGATGAACACCAAGACATTGTGTTACAGAGCATGAGACCTTGTTAGGTCAGAGATGATGAAATTAAAAAGTCAGCACATATCCGACTAACGACATCTCCTTAACACCTGGGGGCCTGCTGCCTTTCTGCATGACTTTAAGTGTGTAACAGATAATATTTGGAGGAATTACAAGGTGTCTTCCCTCCTTCCCCTACTTCCCTATACTCACTGGCATTCCTCTGTGTTGCAACAGTCAATTATAAAATACACTCACTGTCCTTGGGGGAGGGTGGACACAGCTTAGAGAAGCAAGTCAACTGAGTTCCTCAGTCGGTTTTCTTTCAGACTCTACATACTAGTTCTGAAAGCACAGGCTTTCCATTTCAAGATCTCAGCTTTTGGGGAGAAAAGGATTTGGGTGGACATGGTAGGATGGGGATAAGGCCAAACCCCACACGAAACTGGAGATAGGGTTGATACCATAAAGTGTAGATGTGTTTTTAAAATCCATGATTTAAGAGCTAGCTTTCCACATAACGGGAGAGAAAAATAAGATATACGCTAGAGGGAAGATAAAGGAAAGATGTGAGCCAAAAAGTTAGGCATCTGGGAATGATTAATAGGGTCCCATCCCTGCCCTGGAAGAGGGTGTCGTGGGGCTAGAAGGAGGCACAGTCCAGGAAGGCTGCCAGCCTTTCCAAGAGACTTGGTGAGCTCAGAGGAGCTTAGGGTTGGACAAATGGGCCAGAGTCATGGACCCAACCCAGGAAGCCATGACAGGACCCCTGGGTCTTTGAAGGGTGAGTATGCAAAGCAGCTCAAGACAGCCTTGGGGCCGCTGGGCCCGGTCATCAGGAAGAGCTGTGGCTTCTTTCACCCTCTGCAGCTCAGCTCATATCCTTGGCTTCCGCTTGCTCAGCTTCTGGCCTCCTACGAGGAAAATGCCTGTATCGTGGGAACATTACAGAAGACTCTGGGTTGGGGTGAGGTAGTGAGAGCACAGAAAGTCTGCATAAACCAGAACATGAGGAGACAGACTTCCTCCTGTCTAGAGAGGGAGACGGGAAGAGGCAGGCACTGCACAAAAGCAGAAAACACAGGGCTGGCATCCAATGGCGCTCACCCCCCATCCTGCCTCATCTCTTCTGGTCCCCACCCAGAAACCCAGAGAAACCTCAACCAGACAGTCTTGAAAGCAGATACAAGCTCCCTGGCCTCTGGGTGAGAAAAGGAAGTTTTATGAGAAGAGGAGAAAGGAAAAAACAAAGTCTGATGTTGCACAACAGGTGAAGTCCTACTTTGCCGCACCACGAGGAGTCCATGCTGTCATCTGTAATTCCCTGGTAAAGCATTTCTTCATGAGGGTGTTCAGGCCTACCGCTGTCTTCCTTGGTGATCCGGCCTCTGTGAAGCTGAGTTTCTCTCTTCTCCACACCTCAGGGGCAGGGAGGTGTGGGGAAAGGGCTCCACTGTGAGGGAGGAGGTCCAGATTCTGGCCCTAACCCTGCCTTCTCTCTAATAATGAAACCAGACATGAGCCATGGCTTTGCTCTGGGGTTCATTAGACAAATGAGAGGGTAGATTCCTCCAGATAGGAGACCAAGATGCCCAGAGGGCCCCAGGAGTCTCAATAAGAGTCAGGCTTCCTCCCTCTTTCTTTTTTTTTTTTTTTTTTTGATATTTATTTTGTTTGCTTGCTTCGGGTCTCAGTTGTGGCACGTGGGACCTTTGTTGCGGCATACGGGATCTTTAGTTGCGGCATGCGAACGCTTAGTTGCAGCATGTGGGATCTAGTTCCCTGACCAGGGATTGAACCCGGGCCCCCTGAATTGGGAGCGTGGAGTCTTAGCCACTGGAGCACCAGAGAAGTCTCCAGGCTTCCTCATAATGTGGCTGGTGGGTGTTGAATCTTTGGTGAAGCTTCAGCCCTCACACTCAGCTGCTGAAGCAGCCCCTCCTCTTGAGATGCCTCACCTCACCATAATCTGTCACCTTGGAATGTGTCCACTTTGCCCTGAGTTTCTCCTGTGGGTAAGTTTGTCTCACCTTCTAGAATGTTCCATTCCCTTCCACACTAAGCTGGAGGGGGTCATCGTCAATGACCCTTCCATTGGTGATTGTATTAGTTTCCTATTGCTGCTGTAACGAATTACACAAACTTGGTGTCCTAAAAAAATACACAGTTATGCTCTTAAAGTTCTAGAGGTCAGAAGTCCACAATCTGATTCACTGAGCTGAAATCAAGGTGGCTGTGCTCCTTCTGGAAGCTTTAGGAGAGAAACCATTTTCTTGCCTTTTCCAGCTTCTAGAGCTGCATTCTTGCATTTCTTGGCTCGTGGCCTCTTCCTCCATCTTCAAAGCCAGCAGCATGGCATCTTGCTTTTGTTTTCACATTGCCTTCTCTTCTGTGGTCACATCTCCTTCTGTACCCTCTTATAAGGACACTTATGATCAGATTTAAGATCCAGACAAATAATCCAGGATAATCTCTTCATCTCAAGATTCTTAACTTGATCACATCTGCAAAGGCTTTTTTACCTTATAAAGGAATATTCACAGATTCTGGGGATTAGGATGTGGACATCTTGGGGGCCATTATTCAGCCTACCACAGAGATCTATACCTTGTCTCAGGCCTGGGGATCATGAATTCTCTCTCCCAACCCCTTCCCTCAGAACGGTGTGTATCTTTCACCGAAGACCATACCCTAACCTTCCCGGCCACCCCAATTACCCGTCCTTTCCCTCCCTTTAGGCCCTGAGGATATTGGTCCAATGGAACTTCCTATGATGATAGGAATGTTCTACATTTGCACCATGCAACATGGCAGCCACGAACCACATGTAGCCAGTGAGCACCTGAAATGTGACTAGTGCAACTGAGGAATTGAATTTCAAATTTTATT